CTATTGCTTTCTCCATAACTTATACATGTTCCTATGACTGAGATTACGCAACTCCCGAATACTGAAGGAACACTTTGTGTGCTATCAAACGTCACAACGTAACTGGGTGACTATAAAGATGCTCTACAGGTGTCTCTGATCGTGTTTGTTGAGTTAGCATAGATCAAGATTAGGATTTGTCACTCCATGTATCGGAGAGGTATCTCTGGGCCCTCTCGGTAATGCACATCACTATAAGCCTTGCAAGAAATGTGACTAATGAGTTAGTTATGAGACGATACATTATGGAATGAGTAAAGAGACTTGCCGGTGACGAGATTGAACTAGGTATTGAGATACTGACGATCGAATCTCGGGCAAGTAACATACCGATGACAAAGGGAACACCGTATGTTGTTATGCGGTTTGACCGATAAAGATCTTAGTAGAATATGTAGGAACCAATATGAGCATCCAGGTTCCGATATTGGTTATTGACCGGAGATGAGTTTCGGTCATGTCTACATATTTCTCGAACCCGTAGGGTCCGCACGCTTAACGTTCGATGACGATCGGTATGATGAGTTTATGTGTTTTGATGTACCGAAGGTAGTTCGGAGTCCCGGATGTGATCATGGACATGACGAGGAGTCTCAAAATGGTCGAGACATAAAGATCGATATATTGGAAGGCTATGTTTGGACACCGAAAGGGTTCCGGATGAGTTTGAGCATTTACCGGAGTACCGGGGGGTTACCGGAACCCCCCGGGGAGTCAATGGGCCTTATTGGGCCCTAGTGGGAGAGAAGAGGAGGCACCCAGGTGGAGCCCCCCCCCCCGAATCCCAATCCGAATTGGATGGGGGGGCCCCCTTTCCTTTCTCCTTCTCCCTCTTCCTTCTTTTCCTAGTGGGACTAGGAAAAGGGGGGAGTCCTACTCCTACTAGGAGGAGGACTCCTCCTCCCTTGGCGCGCCTAGAGGGCCGACCGGCCTCCCCCTCCCTCCTTTATATACGTGGGGAGGGGGCACCCTAGAACACATCAAAGTTGATCTTAGCCGTGTGCGGTGCCCCCCTCCATAGATTTCCACCTCGGTCATATCGTTGCAGTGCTTAGGCGAAGCCCTGCGCCGGTAGCTTCATCATCACCGTCATCACGCCGTCGTGTTGACGCAACTCTCCCTCGACCTCAGCTGGATCTAGATTTCGTGGGACATCACCGAGCTGAACGTGTGCAGATCATAGAGGTGCCGCATCTTCGGTACTAGGATCAGTCGGATCGTGAAGACGTATGACTACATCAACCGCGTTGTCATAACGCTTCCGCTTACGGTCTACGAGGGTACGTGGACAACACTCTCCCCTCTCATTGCTATGCGTCACCTAGATGGATCTTGCGTGTGTGTAGGATTTTTTTTTGAAATTACTGCATTCCCCAACATACAGAACCGCGAGTTCCGTTCATATTCCCCTCTGTGATGGGAAAACAGTTAAGCACGAGCTACTTCTACCGGCTGTTGACCTTCCATGGAGTTAACTGCGTTTTTCATAGTTGGGTGTTGATCCCTCTTAAACACAAGACTTTTCTCTGATTGGCTTTCTAGGACCGTTTCAACACTAAGGACAACATGGTTAAGAAAACATTGGTCAGCGATCGCCCTGTACACGGATTGTGATATATGCACGGCTGTGGAATCGGTTTCATCATTTGGTACTTCATTGTGGGCCAGCACATGCATTATGGAATAGGCTATCCCTGGCCTCTTTGGCATGTCGATCACCTAATATTCTGTACTTTGTCCAGCAAGCTGCTCATCTTTTGCAGTTCAAGCGAAAGTTGTGGCCTTTGCCGCTTGTGCTATCACTCTCTGGCATGTACGGAACGACCGTATCTTCAACACCGGTTCCTGGACGGACTCTTTCATCAGATTCCATACTGCAAATATGATTCATCTTTGATGCAACAGAGCTAATAAACAACAGGACAAAGAAGATCTAAGGTTCTGGAGCAACTTGCTTGCCGCGTAGTTTTTGTTTCCTGATGTAACGCCTCTCTGCTATCCCTCTCTTCTCTTCTTTATAATGTAGGCTGCTTGTGGCCTTGCACCTCGGTGCATCCTACAAGCTTCTTGTATCTGATACTTTGTCACCCAGGCTCCAGCCTGTTTTGAAATATAAGGTTGGCACTGCGCCACTTTTTCTTTCCAAAAAAAAGTTTTGTTCATATCAGCAGGTAGTACCCGGTTAGATGCGAGGGTTTTGACTTATAGGATATCATTCAGGACTTTGGTGGCACGACGGGATCTCTTCCGTGTCGCTACCTTGGTCTCCCGCTTAGCTTCCGCAAGCTCAGGAGAATTGAGGTCCTCCCACTCATTGAGGGCATGGCTGGCAGGCTTAAGGGATGGAAAGTAAAGAGAATGGAGAAGATTATGCACAACTTCCTTTGGAATGGGGATGACGAGTGTAGCGGAGCCAAATGTTTAGTAAACTGGAAGAGGGTGTGCTTCCCTAAGGATCTGGGTGGCCTCGGAATAAAAAATATTGTCTGTTTTGGTAGGGCACTACGGCTGCGATGGGCTTGGCTTGAATGGAGCCCCACCCCTAGGCCTTGGCTGGGCACTCCCATCCCTTGTGACCACACTGATAGGTTGCTATTCTCGGCTTGCACTAACATCTCTCTGGGAAATGGGAAGAGCGCACATTTCTGGCATGATCGTTGGTTGGATGGTATGGCTCCGGTCAATATTGCTCCTGGCCTATTTGGTTTGACGCGGAGGAAAACTTTGATTGTGCAGGAGGCTTTGGACCGTGGCCGCTGGATGAAGGGCCTGGAGAGGATTTCCTCTGAGGAGCTTCTCGACCAGTTTGTCAGGCTGTGGGAGATGCTCCAACCCATTGTGCTCTCGGATATCCCAGATTCTATTCCGTGGAAGTTCTCTGCTGACGGCTACTACTCCGCTGCCTCCGCCTACAAGGCTTAGTTCTTGGGCCGCATTGCGGAACCGCAACTACACGCTGTTTGGAAGAGCAAGGCCGAGCCGAAGATCAAATTTCACCTTTGGTTACTACTCCAAAACAAAATCTGGACAGCGGATCGGCTTGCGACGAGGGGATGGCCACACAACGAGAAGTGCACGTTCTGCGATCAGATCATCGAATCGGCTGCTCATCTTACTTTGACTTGCCCTTTTGCCCGGGAGGTTTGGTTTTCCTTCCTGCAAAGTGACCCCAACCTCAATGACGATCAAGGGCTGGTGGAGGAAGGTCTGGAAGCTGCGCAGCAATCCAACTAGGCGCATGCAGATCACCTCGGCTGTATACGTCGCTTGGAATCTTTGGAAAGAGAGAAATAGACAGACTTTTAAAGGGAAGAGATGCTCCCCCGAGACTGTTGCTGCTATGGCTAGAGATGAAATAGCAATGTTCAAGGAGGCTACTGTTTAGCGCCTTTATTTCCTTTTCTTTTGGTTTCGAGAGTTGTATTTTTCTTTAAGAGTGTGAGTGTAGGCTTTGGCCGCTCTGTACAACACCTGGAACCTTGGTTCCTTTTCCTCTTCTAATATGAAAAGGCAGAACTACTGGCATGTTTCTTAAAAAAAATGTGTCGCCGGATGAGCGGCGGTGATCGACTTACCGTTTTAAATCCGGGGCCCAGATAAAGGAGCAGACCAAACGGCCAACGGCCTTCTTCCGCGAGCCCCACCACGGCGCCACAACTTCGGATTTTGGCCGCCGCCGACCCCCCACGATTTCCACCTCCGGCCTCCGCTCCCCCGTTTCAAATCCCTAAAATTCCGCCTCCCCACAGGATTCTCGTCTCCCATTCTTCACTTCGAAACCGGACTAATGCAATTTTGCAATTACTACGATTCATTGCCAGTCCAATCCCACCATCCCGACGGTTGCTAGGCTAGCGCACTCGTCTCGTGTGCTCTGCTGCTCTTCTCCGGTGGACGGCGACAACGTGGCCGCGCTCCGCATCCACCGGCCCCGTACCTCCCCGGCGGCACCTCTGCGACCTGTTTTTACTCCGGTTGCCCGGTCCGATCCTCCCGTACCCGACCGCCTCCGCAGCTGCGCTCCGCTACGGCGGCCGGCCTCCCGAAATAGGAAAAATCCTCAACCTCTCTCTCAGGTAGGTGTCGAGTCCACCATGCTTAGTACTTATTTCAATATGATTACCGAATTTCCACCACAAACGCAGCCGTGCACTGTAACTTTCCGTTGTCATTGGCTGTTCTCAATGTCTGTTTGCTGTTCAGTGGTTATTGCTTATTGAATTGATTTGTTCAATTTATACTGTTTGGTGTTGAACTGCTGCGGATCTGGTGGCATGATTACTTGTACGGATGCAGAGCGAGTGACTTGACTGGACGTTAGTATAATACTCCATGATCTCATGTCCTTGTTTTGATCCTAGCACACAGAAAAATGCAGTGTCCGGCGATTGGCGAACTACCAAATTTTTTGGACGGAAGGCTTTGCCGCCCGATTTTGATGAGCTAATATGAACCAAACCATACAGTCCAAGAAGACCGTCACTTACAGTTTTGGCTTCTAGCTTTCCTTGAACAAAATTTCGAGACCAGGTTTTATGTTCAGTTTGCCGCTAAGTTTAGTCAGTCTCAAATTTGTCAAGGCTACTTTCGGTTCTGTTATTCTCTCCCGGTTCTTGTGTATACATTTTTGTGTTTCCTTGCCCATCAAAATCTCTGCCTGGAACCTGTTTGAAGGATTTTCTAAACCAAAATTTACCAGTGGGGGGACGTTTCCATTTTTTTTTTAAAAAAATTGTGATTCGTTTGCTTTCTCCTAGATTTGTGCCCATCCAGTTTTTAATACAGTTTAATTGGCAGTCATGTTGACTTGTCTAATGCACCACTCAGCTTGCAAATCATTTCGAACAGCTATGATCCAAGCTTTTACTATTATCATCATCATTGCTATGTTTCGGTACAATCTATTATCTTTTTGGGCCGTAACATTGCCCCATGCAGCAGATTACTGGACATTTCAGGAGATGAGAAGGTTCTTTCCATTCCGCTCGTTCACAAGCAATGCCGACAAACCAGCTCCAGCGCATGATAAAAGGAGTGAAAGCAAATTGGATGAGGGTGGGACTAATGGTGCGTCCCATTCCCCTGATACTAGGGCACTCAGGTCAAGAAGGAGGCATGGAAATTTGAGGAGCGAGGAATCGCCCAATCCGCAGCTCAGGAGATGCCTGTCGTTCACATCCTCGGCAATTGATCGTTCCTTGGATGAAAGGGCAATGAGATTTTCAGGCGATATCCCATGGTTTAATAATTCTGACGTGCCTCGTCATGTTTCTGATATTGAGTAAGTGGGTCGAACTGCACCAACATCAATTGCCACTCCCTATTCGCAAACAATTTGGAAACGCCATCGATCAAATGCTAGCAATATAATTATAAGTGGTATAATGTTGTACTTCCAATTCAATGTAATCAAAAGCAAATTGAAATCTGATAGTATAGGAGTAGATGCTAGCGGCTGTGTGTCATAAGTTGTACTGTAGCAAAGTTTAGGTTCAATTGGAAGTTCATCTTTAACACACCAAACGATTGCTCATGTGAACCACTAACATGCCCCTCTTGAGATTTTTTTTTCAAGAAACGTCTTGAGAATTTTCTCTACAGAAATACCACAGTTAGCATTGTCATAATCTGCAGCCACCAGCTCATTCTTTGAATTAAATTCCCGTTGGACATACCATAACATTGTTGTAGACGATCTCTGTTACTTATAGCCATGACATAATTGTGCGCGTTATACTTGAATAAAACCTGAATGTTATTCTTTGGAGCATGTTTTGTAGAAAATGTTAATGATAGAGGTTACTGTCTGCAGGTGCTACACATGGTCACCAGAAAGACATCCTAATGTAGAGGAATGCATGATAAAGGTTCCAAAAGCACATGGCGTACAGGAAACTGATTCACCACGTTCAAGATGCTACTCATGCTCATCAACAGGACACTCTCCTCTTAGCTCTCCTGTTGCATTGAAATGCAGACCTGCCAGGTTGACCAATTTACTGGACAAAAATGGAGTGGTAGATCTGTACATTGATGGGGAGCAAGAAGCAAACATATTAAATGAGAAACATAAGCAGAAATTCCCCGTCAGAACTGCAGCTCCTCATTCGGGATGTGGAAGACCACCTCGACCTCATTCTACAGCTCCATCTTCACCAAAATCTTGCAAAGAAATATATGAGAACTACTCAAACATAGACAAGACTTTGCAAGATTTGGAGGATGGAACTTTACCCCTAACCTACCACCATCAACTTGCTCAGGAAGAGGCAATGGGCACCTTGAAGGTGGGATCTATGTGTGATTCAGATGGAAATGACACTAGTCTATTTGAAGGATCTTCTGATAATTTTTCTCACTCAGAGGAGTGCAAATCACATAGCGTGACTACACTGGAAGATATCTACGAGGACTCACGAGATCTACAACCTCAATGCTTCTATGGATTTTCAGTGAATCCTCTTTTCGGGGCAACCTCAAGATGCTCTGCTGCCGATACTTATCATCATGATGGGTCTTGTGGTTTTCATGACAAGAACTTGGAACAAGACACTGATGATAAGTTGCTTAGAAGAACTAAAGAATTGGATGCATGCTTTATGGTTCCTTCTGAAGAAATGAGCGAGCTTAACATGCTCAGGGATAAGAGATTGAACTCAACTGACATTATGCAGCTGGTTCTCAGCTTGATTGAAGATAGAAAGCAACTGGCGCTCGAACTATCTTCACAGATTAAGGCGCGTCTTACAGAAAGGTTTGCAGCCAAAGAACAATATAACCGGTCTAGGGTAGAATTAGACTCTAGAACTAGAAGGCTGGAGAATGAGAAGACTGATGTGCAAACTACCTTGGAACGGGAGCTTGATAGAAGGTCAAATGATTGGTCAGCCAGGCTAGCAAGATTTCAAGCCGAAGAACAGAGACTACGGGATAGAGTAATGGAGCTAGCAGAGCAGAATGTGTCATTTCAGAGAGAAGTTAATTTGCTTGAATCAAATCGAGTTGAAGTTTCTAACAGGATTACAAGTTTGGAACTGCAAAACAAACAACTGAATAATGAGCTGGAGAAAGTTAAAGGTGAGCACACCAGTCTTTACAGATCCTCAGTAGAGTTGCATGATAGCTTTACAAAAGCTGCAGAAGAAAGGGACCAAATCCAAGAATGCTTAAAATCCAAGGAAGATAACAGTAGGGCACTACACAAGGTGATTGCAAGATTACAAAGGGAATCTAATGAGCAGGAGAAAACAATAAATGGGCTGAGACAAGGATTTAGTGCTGAATTAGAAAAGAGATCTGCCGGAAGTAGCGAAAGCATCACAAGGACGCAAATGGAACTTTTGAGACTTGCTGGAGTTGAGCAAAAGCTGAGAAAAGAAATTCAGTCCTGTAACCTTGAAGTAGAGTCTCTTCAGCAAGAGAACATAGGGATTTTAAATCGTCTAGAAAGTAGTGGGAATGGATTAAGTTTATCCACGCTTCGTCTTGACCTCGAACTTCATGCTAGAGTGGACAACTTGCAGATGCAAGGCTTATCATTACTTGAAGATAGTAGTTGTCTTTGTGGCAAGTTGTTGGACGTCATGAAATCCAAGAGTGAGAATATTGGCAGTATTGATGCACTAGCAGCCATTGAATACACTTTGAAGTACCAGAACATAAGACAAGGAATGGATAATTTAGCCCTTAGCCTGAGAAAAGTTAAGTCCGTGTTGGTTGAAAAGCACAACGAAGAAGACAGCACAGTGGGTGTTCCTGTGAGACATGATACATTATATAGGGTATGAAATCTGCTCTGTATATTGCTGTACTTGAGTAAAGTGTATGTTGTTCAGTGGTTTATCATTTTGCATTCGAGAATAACATGAAGCTAGCAACATTCTTTTAGAACTTATATAGTAAAATTTGTGTTACCATGAAATGTGCTCAAGAAAAATATGTTAATTTATATAATACAAAATTACAAATATATTATGAAGCCAAGTTACTGAAAGAAGTACTCTATAACATTAAAATACCGAATTATATTTATGTTGGCATGGCCAGCTGAAGCTAGTAGCAGAAGCAGAAATCTAACCAAGCTTTCTTATTTTGTTTTCGGCGATGTAGGATGACTTCGAAATTAAGCTGAAAGAAGAAGCTTTACTCAACAGAGTATTGAAGGAGAAGCTATTGTCAAGGGAACTGGACATTGAACAATTGCAGGCAGATGTAGCATCTTTTGTCCGGACCCAAGATGCCATGGAAAATGAGATCCGTAGAGCTCAGGATGAATTATGTCGCGCAATCCACAAGTTCAAGCACTTTGAACTTCAGGTAACCATACATCTGCTAATGTTGTTTGTTCATAAGTTATTGGTGCAAGGTCCACGTGCATATTCAGATACCAAAAAGGATGACATGCATGTTTGCTATCCGTGGCACTATTAAGCCATTACTGAGATTTTCCACTAAAAAGCTATTACCGAGATTAAGTTGGCTCATATCTTGAGTGGCG